TTTTCCTGACATGTCGTTGGACGCGCCGTACTTGTGTCCACCCTGAGCTAACGGAGCTAACGCTAGAAACAACCGCTCCAAAAAATAACATGCGTAACCCTTATGTTTACAACTAACTGATGAGAAACAAGACGGTCTTAGTTTCTTCTCGATTTCAGGGTTTCTGTCTACATCTCCGTGTCTTCGTGCTGCTGGGAATGACAGCGAATCGCCGAAATTCGTCCCTCCATCGAAACCTGTCATTGTAGACAAGACACAGACTGTGGCATCTCTCCGAAAGTATGAGGCTCATTTGCAGAGCAGACACCTCAAAATTTCAGTGACATTGTGTAAAGTGTGTATGAGGGCGTAAATAAGACTTTTTTTGTAACATGTCCCCCCTGCTCCTCTTTCCTTAGGTTCTTGAGCCCAGAGTTTATCCCTCCTAGACAGAGAATAGATCCTTTAAAGTTTTCTATTGAGAGGAAAGACATGATTCGCAGAAGAAAAGTGCTCAACATTCCTGAATTTTATGTTGGTAAGAACCTAAACTGTCAGGTGTAGTACCACTGCATGTTGAGACATTTGAATATTTTGACCTGAATGTAGAGATTTATAACTGTTTTGTTGGTTTCAGGGAGTATTCTAGCTGTGATTATGGCTGATCCAAATGCCAGTGGGAAAAGCAACCGCTTCGTTGGCATCTGCATCCAGAGAGGAGGAAAAGGGCTGGGGGCCACATTTGTACTGAGGAACATCATTAATAACCAAGGTGAGGTTTGTTTGTTTTGTAAGAAATGTCTTCTGAATGCAGAGGATCTGTGGTACTGCATGAGGAAATTAGGAGCAGCAGAGAAGTATGTGAGCATGGTCCAGGACATGCACAAGGACAGGGAGACAGCGGCGTTCTGGGATTATATCACGGATTGTTGAGGGATGAGATTAGGGAGGAATCTGTGTGAACTGTGTTGTTTGCAGACGACATTATGATTTGTAGTAAGAGTAAGGAGCAGGTGGAAGAGAGAGACGTGCTCTCTGGAAAGAAGAAGAATGAAAATCTGTAGAATCAAGACAAAATACACATGTGAATTAGAGGGAGACTGGTGGAAAGGTGAGGTAGAGAGATAGTGAGGATAGATGAGTTTAAATACCTTGGGTCAAACAGCCAAAGCAACAGACAAGAGGGATGAAGAAGAGAGTGCAAGCAGGGTGGATATGAGTTCCTTTTTAGTCTCACTTTTTAGCAGTGAGACTTAAAAGGAAGCTTTACAAGATAGATATTGAGACCTGCTGTGATTTGAGATACTAATAAAAAGTTAAGAGGATGAGCTGAAGATGTTCAGGGTTTTATTTGGAGTGCCTAGGATGGCTTTTGCTTTATTCTTTGGGTTGTAAATCTATAAAGAAGGTGTTGCAGATAAGCAACACCTTCTTTAGCCAGGTGATCAGGGATAACCCATGTTTTAATAATGTACGCCTGTGTTTTTGACCTAGGTGTGGAGATCTGCTATGAGCTGTACAGCCCTCGTATTCAGAAGATTGAGGTGCTGAAGCTGGAGAAAAGACTAGACGATAATCTGATGTACCTGAGAGACGCTCTGCCCGAGTACAGCACTGTGGACCCCGAAATGAAGCCAGTGCCTTTCTCACCTACTGGAGAGGTGACTGTCAACAAGGTGAGAGAACTTAAAGGTGAACTGAAACAGCTGGATCAAGTTGGGCTTCTCCAAAGCAAACTCATCTAATACACTCAAATGTTTTTTTTAAATATTTTTGATGAACCTTCATTTATCATTACTGATATTACTACAGGTCTTATTTGTAGCAGTGCTGAAATAAATAGGCCAAATGTGTGGGATTTGATAAGTGTTGAGCCCAGTCCAGTTCAGTCTATTTATTTAACAGACCTATGATGCAAGAATAAAACTGCAGCATTTTGAACCAAAAACAATTACTTGTTTGTTTTTTTATCTGTCCTCCAGATCAAGGTAAGGATGCGTCCAAAGCCATGGTCTAAACGCTGGGAACGGCCCAAGTTCAACATCCAGGGCATCCGCTTCGACCTCTCCCTGACCCCAGAACAGATGGAGCATGCCCAGAAGTGGGCACAGCCGTGGCTGGAGTATGACATGCTAAAAGAGTACGACACATCCAAACTGGAGGAGCAAATCATCAAAGAAGTCCAGCAGGAGATGAGCAAGTGAAACAAACAACTTTTTTTTCTTATTACCATCAGTGCAGACATTTCAAAATTGGAAGATAAGGCGGTCATGGATGTGGAACGAATCAAGTCTTATTCCAAGCAGTTTACAACAGCCACACCTCTTTATCTGACAAGAAGTGAATATGGATATTGATGTTCTATTTGTAAAAGCATTGTCTTCTTCATGTCTGCGTATCAGTCTGCTGAGGAGTTCTTCCAGTGTCACTGATTTTAGCTGGGACATTCACAGTATGCGATGAAGTGTCGTCTGTAATAAAGCTAATTAATCCTGCAAGCGTTACAACTGAATTTCATTGCCTCGTTATGGTCTGTGTTCTTTGTTTGGAGTTGTGACACCAGGTGGCGGTGTTTCTCTACTCAAGTCGCCTCCCGTTAGCAGTTACATAACTCCAGCACTGTTTTGAGGAGAAACCCCTGCTGTGCTAAATAAACAAATAATGTTTTATTTAAACTAATGATGACAGGACCATTCCAAACAAGCAGGTTAACTGAGATGTTTTTTTTGGGTCGATTTTTCCATCCGTTCATGTTCTAAGGGGTTTATGGGCTAAACCTGGCAGCCGTAACCCAGAACCTTGGTATTCAAGGAGCACACACACCAAAGACACCCGGTAGTGTTTTACTGTTGTGGATGGAAAATTGTGGTGTTGAGATGGTATGTTAGAGCGTCAGTTGGGTAGTATAAAAACTCTTGGACTCCTTATGTTATGTCTGCTCACTGTGAGTGTGTGTGTGTGTGTGTGTGTGTGTGTGTGTGTGTGTGTGTATAAACATGCTCAATGAGTCCCTGCACTCTAATTTCTCCATATTACAGGATGAGATGTGGAGAAAATGGTCTCTAATACAGGAGTAGCAGATGTTTGCTGAGCTCATTATGGACCACACAGATTCCCTGTGTGGAGATAGAGCGGAATAAAGGGAGTGAGGACTCGTGTTACATTTAGGGTCATGGAGTGGAAGAAAGCCTTTAACTGTGATACACAGCAATTCACAGGGTATCTGCTAAAGTTAATGGTTTTGTAATTGTTTTAGTCGAATTGCCAAATCTTCTGCACCTGTTGAACAAATAGGTTTCCACATCGGTGCAGTGTTGTACACACTGTGTTTACTCCGGCTAATTTATTCTCTGCCTAATTAGACGTGACCTGCAGCAAAGAAAACCAACTCCATGTGCTTCTGTATACAGTTGACCGAGAGCCTGTCCTGCGTGTCGTCATTATGCTACCTACTGAACCTGCAGGCCCTTTCACCTTTTTCGGTATTTCTCTTTGAGGCTGAAGTTCCCATGTGGAGGCGGCAACAGAAATGTTTATGTTGCAGCACATTACCGAGTCGTTAGGAGCATTCCACGGCGACACCACTGAACTGGTAAACCACAAAGTTAGTGTAGTTACACAGTCCGTGTTACTGCTCTAGGGAAACGTTGCCGGTGTGCGTATGTGTGTGTGATTTAAACTGTATGTGCCTCCCCTGCCCTCAGGTTGACTGCTGCACCTGGAGTGCAGTTAAAGCCCTTTGGCTGGGAAAGAAGATCAAACACCAGTTTTCTTTTCTCTCTCTGTCTCTGTCTTGCTCACACACACAGACACATACAACTTGCAGACAGGCTATCATACCAGCCCTCCCTAACAGACAGACGCTCTAAACAGTGCCAACTGTAAATGTCTGGGGCAATCGGTCTGTCAATCCTCATGCTGAAACTGGATACACTCCATTCAAGGTTGCTGTGAAATCGAGGTGTGGCGTAAGGGTTTGAGGAGACATAACCTCACCCCCTCAATAACATCCAACTGCAAAGGATGGAGGCCTGATGATAGTTACAGTGCCACACACCACACTGTAGGAATGTAGGGAGGGACATGCTCTTCTAATCTGTCTTCCTCCCTTTCCCTGGTACTCCCATGACCTTCATCTCTTTTTCTCTCTAAGGTGGGATAGCTCTTGAAAAGCAGGCAGGTTGATGAATTGGAGAGGATGTGAGGGTGTGCAGCAACTCCCACAGATTGAGATTTTGAGGTAATGTCTTCCACTGGGCCAATATAGCACAGTCTCACTCTACTGGATCAGAGTGCTGATCTCTTAACATCTCTGTCATCGTGTGATTTCTTATTCTCCTGTCTGCAGGCCTGGGGAAATTAGTTTCAGTCTCTCTATCTCTGTCAGCGTGTGTGAACTGTGTTTGAGCTGTCTGTGTGTATGACAAGTGCAATGGGATACTGGGCCACCCATAGGCCCCAGGTAAATTACACCCTCTCACTGTGTGCATGTGCGCTTACACATGTGTGTATGTGCTCCTTGGGGCCACCCATAGTCCTAGGTAAATTACACACTTGAGTTTCACCATATGTTTCCAGTGAAACGACACAACCGTCTGCTCCTCTCCGACTGTCCCACGGGACTGACATGTGCTCTTGCTGCTATCACTCTCTTTGTTACACTCACACACACACACACACACGCACAGACAATCTGACAGTGTGACAGCTGTTAGGAAACATTACATTGCAAGCAGCTGATAGCTGAAGTTGAACAGGCACATATCAAAGTCTTTTTAATAGTGTGATCCTGTGTGGAGTGGATCTGGCAGTGCTACTGGGGTCAAGGGTTCACTTCCAGTTGGGGCCAAGTATCTCATCCCACAAGTGTTTGGATAAAAGCGTCCATCAAATGGAACGTGTTGGACAGTAGTTTTATGATTATTCATTTAATGCCAGGAGAAGGATGATGATACAGCGCAGGAGGAGAATGGAATCAGAAATTTCAGTGGCCAATCTGTTTCATCGGAACTACTTGTCAGATGGCAAATGTATAAAAATTTCTCATCTCGGGGGATTACATTTTTCTTTTTGTCCATAAATATCACACAGAGACCCTTTACTACTGATGACTGGATCCCACTGATACAAATATTGTCTGTGCTGGCAATGACTGATTAATTATTAATAATGCATTTAGGCATGTAAACATGTTGAAGTTCAAACTGAGTATGAGTAGTTCAAACAGAATGGGAAAGAAAGGAAATTCAAAGTAAACTTTGAATGTGGTGTATAGTGATCTCCTGGGATTTTCCCACACAATTATCTCTAGGGTTTACAGAGGATGGTCTGAAACAGAAAATATCCCGTGAGCAACAGTTCTCAGGGCATAAATGCATCACTGATGCCAGAGGTCACAGGAAAATGACTGGACTGCTTCAAACTGATAGGAAGGCAACAGTAACTAAAATAACTACTCATTCCGACTAGGGCATGAAGAAGCCCGACTAGGGCATGTGCCCTTGAAGCCCATCTGCTTCAAGGGCACAACACGTTGAGCCTTGAAGCAGATGGGCTAAAGCATCCGAAGACCAAAGCATGAGAAATTGGATTTGCCTAAGAACAGGAAACTGAAAAGGCTGCAGTTCACACAGGATCGCCAAAACTGGACAATAAAAGGTTGGAAAAACATATGAGCTGGTGCTCTTGGTGAAATGGTGCGGGGGATATTTGGGCTCCTAGTGAGCTTTGTTACTAGGCCACATCCTACTCGAGTGTTGTTGTTGACCATGTCCATCCTTTTAGTTTACCCATCTTCTTGAATATAGTCAACAGATATGAATGCAATAGAGTAGCTTTGAGATTTTGTTGGACTGGAAGATTCCTGAAGCCATCAAATCTGCTGCAACTGTGTGATGCTATTACATCAACATAAACCAAGATCCCTGAGGAATGTTTCCAGCAGCTTGTTGAATCTGTGACACAAAGAATTACGGCAGCTCAGAAGGCAGAAAGGGTTAAACGTGCTGCTAAAAGTGGCTGCTGAAAATACTTTATTGAGGACCATTCTGCAAATGTCAATAGTTACACTCCCAACATCTAGCTATTTTTTATACTTAGTATGTGCTTAAGGTTTTTCCGGGAAATAAATTAAGGACATACGTGAACACATCTCAAGATTTCTTCAAAAGGATCATATTGTCCTGGAATGCTAGTGACGGCTTGAAGTCGTGATTAATAATGAGAGTCACAAGAAACGTACTATTGGTTCATTCTGGGCCACAACAGTAAAACTGAGGGAAGTTTTCCAGCTTCACACCGCAGACTAAAGTCTCCCTCAGTCATATGATCAGAACACAACACCGTGGCCAGAACTGAGCTGAAAATAACACTTAAACTTTTTGTTTGGAGACAGCCCCAGATATCAAATAATCGCACATTTCTTTAAAAACACTAATAATTTTTGGCATGACTCGAAATATTTTGAAGGCATGATAAGTCAGGAAAATAAAACGGGGAGTATAACTTGTACTTCATTGATTTTATGTCCTGAGGATAGAAACATAAAGATGAAAGGGAAAACAACTCAAACAGCAGCATGAACAATACATGCTTCATTCACTCACTTATGAATTGACATATGATATTTTTGCCAACCTGAACAGCATTCCTGTCTATGCATGCAGGACGCAGCTGTCTTGAGTTTGACCTTGGTTGGTTGTGTGCCCTTTTCAGCAATATCTTGAGTGTTTTCTGCTTTTAGGATGTCACTGTCAACATGCAGTCCGAGGTAGGAGCACCCAAGGCTCTTTGGTGCATTCTTTACATTTTGTTGGTATTACTGTTTGTTCTTGCCAAAGCTAGCTTGTACTCACTTGTGGTTTATTGCTGAGGACGCGAACCAGGTCATAACAGAATAATATTCCTCATGACGAGTTTTCTTCCTCTCTGGTCATGATAACCCTGCCCTTGTACTTTTTTAAAACAGTCATGAGCGCTGACTCAAAGCGTGCTTCTGCTTTGAAGTGAGGAAAACTTACTGGGGCGGAAATATTAGCAGTTTGACTTCCTTCCCTCTGGGAGGCGCCCTTTGTCTTCTTGCTACACCTGTATGCAGCTCTCAGTTCGGTTCCCCTGCACAGCTGGTCTTCTTCTCTCCTGAGCTGTAATTGCAGCTCTGTCCTGGGAAAAAGAGGGAGGAAATCCCAGAGCTTTTGCCTCGCAACAATGACAATAAAAAAGAGGTGAGGAAAAGAGGAAGAAAGCATTTCAGCTGAGATAAAAGAGGGAGGGAGGCTTAGGAGGAAAAAGGGAGGTGGAGGAGTGCTGGCTCAGGAGTGCAGGGAGAGGTGGAGGTAGAGATGAAGGAAGAAGGAGTTAGGAGGTGGCGGAGGGATGGCGTTGGTGATGGTAGTAAAGTCTTGAGTTTATTAACCTCATTTAGTTTAAAGGGGGCCGAGAGCAAGGGGAAGGGGAGAAATGCTGTGTTCATACTGTGAACGCAAGGCTGGCGTTT